GATGTACGTAGACTACGGATAAACGAATTAGGTTACGATGCTATCGATCGCCTAATTCTACTTTAATAACTATAAGTTAGTAATAGGACTAAGTCTATTCTACGCTAACTATAGATTCCATCTAAGACTAGAAGATAATACCTAAGAGAGCTCGAACCCGAGAGTACTAATAAAAGCTAAAATAATAAAAGAAATCCACGAGAAATTACGAGAGACCCTAGTATTTATCGTAAAAAGAATAGTAATATACGTAAATAAGAAAAGGGTCGAGGGACCGCCCCTAGAGGAGGGGGACTCCGTCTACCTTTTACGAAAAAACATTAAGATAAAACGGCTAAGTGCGAAATTAGACTACGTTAAGCTAGGACTATTTAGAATTAAGGAAAAGATAGGAGAGGTTAACTATCGACTAGAACTTCCTAAGGATATAAGAATTTATGATATATTCTATATCTCATTACTTAAATCAGTACCGAAGAACGCTAAACTAGTTAAATTACTACCTTTAGACGAAGAAGTTATAACGGAGGAGTACGACGTAGAAAGAGTACTTAAAAGGCGCGTTAGGTATAGCACTCCCTAGTACTTAATTAAGTAGTTAGGATATAACGAGTTAGAGAATAGTTAGGAACTAGAAGCTTACCTTACGAAGGAAACTCTAGAGGAAGCTTAAAGGTAATACCCTAAGTAGTCTCGCTAGATAATATAGCTTCCTAATCAACCTATTCGACGCTCGGGGCGTCGGACTAAGTAAAGTTAGGCTTAGCTAGAGCTACCTCCTCGAAATTAGGTAGCTTATCGAAAACACCTAACGCCTACATCTTACGACGTAATATACGACTTAAAACCTCCTCCAATCGCTTAAGCTCGCCCTAGAAGGATACGTCCCCTTCCTCGGCTTCTATAATTAACCGGCGGAGGCGAGCGATTTCCTTTCGCTTCGCCCGTAATTTTATAACTAATTGTTTCTTTTATTCCCCTACTTTTCGAAATTCTTCCATCGAAAAAGTACCGTTATATTTTCGCTGCTTTCGGAGACATTCGGTATAAGAAGACGACTATTCGCGGTTATAGTAATAAATAACCCCGTAGTTAACGTACTCGATATAGGCCACCATTACGATGTTTTCTAAATTAGTAGAAATAGAGTCGGCGAGTTCGATACGACGCTTACTTTAAGTTTTCACCGGCTTTATAGATCGACGAGGTTTAGCTATACGAAAGGACTGTATAGTTAGCTACGAGGAATAAGGAAGGAGAAGGACGAGAGATAACGAAGGGGGGCGCGGCCTACCTTAAGTACGTTAAGGATAACGAACAGGAAGGAGGGGAGATGGTGTTAGAAACGGCCTTTATATAACCTAGAGCGCGGGGCGCCCGGAGGTAGGTCTGCCGGATGGCAGCCTAGCGGTATAAGGCTAGGTTACGTACCGTACGTGACTACCTAAAGGGGAAAGAGATGATATAGCGATATATTAGTATAGTCTATACTAATATATTAACATATTATCCCTAGTTACCTGTTCGGGATACACCTTATAAGTATATAGCTACGCTTATTCCCCTTTCATAGTTACACTCTCTCGTAGCTAACTTATGACATCTACTTCACTATACTATTCTGAAGTCACTCGACTACTTATATCTTACGTACTCTCGACCTAGCTCATGTAATAAAGGAACTGTGACTGAGGAAGCCTAACCCCGTTAGGCCATACAGGAAGCAGCTCTAATAAAGACCTTAAATTACTCTTTATATTTATATCTAATCTCGCGATTCTTCCTCATCTACTCCTTTAATTTATAAAAGGCTATCTTAATCGGGTTTAGATACGGCGAATAGGGAGGTAGGTAGGCGAGAACTACGCTATATTACTAGTAAAGAGCCTATATCCGTTCGCCGTAGTAGATCGATGTATTATCTAATATTAATACCGATCGAGATACTAGAAACGCGTTTATCTATCCTAATAGCCTCTTAACGAAGGCTAGGAATCTCTCTCCGTTAAAGGAACTCTAAAAGATCTTATAATCGAGCTACCTATCGATCGTAAGCGCTAGGAGGATACTCTAGCGAATGCTCCGCCTATTAGAAGCCCTTACTTAATAGGGTACTCCTCGTAGTAACTAGCTATATTTACGATCGCTAGTCCTCTCGTTTACGGTACTCTCGTTAAGGTAGACGAGTTATTTAACTAAGTACTAGGTTATATTAGCTAGGAACGCTATAACTAGCGATTTATTACGCCGAATATTAATCTTATTTACCCTCTTACGTATAAGGCCTAGCCTTTTTAGGATCCTACCTACGGTCGTAGGATAGACCTCTATATTAAACTCTTCCTTAAGGAGATCGTAGACCTCGTCCCTCTACGCCGTTAGGAAATCCTAAATGAATTAGTCGATAGTAGTTATAGCGGCGGAATGGATTACCCTAGGACGGCCTCGTACTACGCCTTCTAGCTCTAAACTAAGCGATTCCTCCTCGTCTCGATGCCGCTGTTAAGTAACGAAGGAAGGAGAGACGTTATTCACTCGCGAGACGTCGATTAGGCGCATTCTAAGGGCTAATTAGGCGCTTATAGTCGTCCTAATAACCTAGGCCTTTCGAAGGTGTAAACCGCCTAAAGGTATTACTACCGCGTTATAAAAGGCTATTTACGTGGAGATACAGTAACGAGCTATCTATTAAGCCTATAGATGAATTACAGGACGCTGTACTTATTGTATGGCGACCTATTCTTTATACACCGCTTTTTACGCTGTAGGCGGAACTACTCGCCATTACAACAATATGCCCTCGGTAAAACTACCAATTTTTTGGATTTTTGCTCGCCACTGTACAAGTGCCGAGAACAAAACATACCGAGTACCGGATTGGAGGTGTGGGTGGCACGGGGGGGGTACAACTCCGTAGGTGTAGATAGGGACAACTTCATCTTTTCGGCATCATACTTGATTTGCAGCATATCACGTCACGCCATTGTATCGTGGTCCGTCGTTCGTGCCAAGAAGCATCTAGTAGGTGCTAGGTGATTAGACAAAGTGGCTCCGCCAGCATCTGTTGTATTTTTTGGGGGGGTTCATCTTGTACAGCGTACTGATCTCGACGCGCACTTTCCAGCCACTGTCAGCCCAGAGAATGTGCCCACGTTGTCAGTCATCACCATGGGTCATTCAGCTAACTGAGGCCACCATACCACCACCCTCACTGGAGAAGGGCGACCTCTGGCCAACATATTTCCGTAGACCTCTCGGTGGCGGGGCAAAGTCCAGGTCCGCCTCCAGGAGACGTAATGTTTTCACGATCTGCTTGTGGATGTGAGGGTCTGGTTTGATCTGCAAGGCAGTGACTTGACTTGATAGCTCGTTGATCAGAGATTTGGCTGGCTGAATCAAAAAGTTTCCGGCAATCTCTTTAGGCTGTAGTTGTTCGGCGGTCTCTTCACGCCTAGACCTCAGGTTTGTCCGCTTTGTCGGTGGCATCTTCGCAATCACTAATGGTCTTTCTCAATAGTTGGCTGTCGTGCGGTGGGGTGTAAGTAAAAAAACAAAAATTGCTGGGTGAAAGATGAGGAATTAAATGGGTGTAGTGGCGGTAAGTGAAGTGAGTGTGAAAGTGAAGTGAGGCCTATGTTAGTTGCAGATGCCTGCTACCAGGGGGGTATGAGCGTTACAATGGCTATAGACCTATTCTGTCTCATGCAATTACTACGTGCCAATACATTTTCTTATCCCCCGGCCGGACTCTTGCCCAGACGAAGAAGATTTTTCTCGCTATATTGCAACACTCGCATAGCGTCTCAAACCCAGAATCGATGGCAAGGACCAGGCCTCCATGACTACCGCCCTCAACTATTGGGCAAGTACCGTCGAATATTGTTATTTTACTTAGGGTGAAACATTCAGCAAGCAGTACAACCGACAGCAGACCAAGAGAATCCAAGTTCATTTGGATCAAAGAGGTTCGCAAGGGCGATTTATTCTGTGGCAAATGGTTGAAAACCCAATGTATCGTCTTCGAAATAATCAAACACATTAGCTTAACCTTTCTACGCACTGCTTGCAACAATGGCTGCCTTTCTCGGGATATGGTCCTGAGTCAGTATGTGTCCATTCTGCTGCAATCAGTCTGTGTGGCACGCCCTGGGGATATAGCTCTTAGCGCTCTACATACGAACAAATGAGTGTGTTATATGGGGTCACATCAGTCTTCGTCTCAAACCAGAAGGTAATACAGTCGATGACATGTTCGGTGTTGTCAACCTCAAGTACACCAAGGGCCAGAAGCGTGTAGGCCCTCAATGACCAAAGGTGATTCGACAACACTGACATAGTCGATAGGTCAAGCGTGAATCAGGACGAGACTATGTTCTCTGACGCTCTGACGGAGTCATCACTGTACCCTCTGTATCCCGTCAATGCACTGAGCACGTGCTCTACGCCATGGTCTCTGTCACAGCAATACTATCGAGGGAGGGGTTGCGCATACTATTGCACAGCGATAGAGAACTATTGTCTGGACGCAACCTGATTACCCAGTCGTCGCCGGAATCAATTTGAAGTCTAGAGCTTTCCTAGAAGAGAGCAACTCAAATTGATGGCACTCGTCTCGGGAGTGGTCTCACCAATCACCGTCCGAAAGAGAAGCCCTTCTAATGTCCTCATGAGGGCTGCAATTTGGCCTTTGCCATCAAAAAACAGCTCACTACTCATATCTGGAATGCACATACGTGGGAGCCAAGGAAGTGCATGCACGGATGCGATGACGGTCATGTTTCCAAACCATACAAGATTACACCAAGCTCTTGCGCAACTTCCATGACGGTTTTGAGCCTCAGAAATGCCCTCTAATCACCGACTGTCATTCGGAAGAGAAATTGTTCGCCACTTGAGCCGCGCTATGTCAGCACCTGCTGAAGATGCACCAGATCACCTCTGATGACATGTCGAAGTATACGCCCGTTAACAGAGAAAAAAGCTTCCAGCCCCCAAAACGCAGTGTCGATAGTTGCCATGCTACATCGGTATTCAAACATGCATCTGATTGCGCGCCCACCTCCGAAAGAAGCATGATTACTCACCAACTCAGGCAGAGGAGGCTGTTCCTCTCAGAGGCGCTGCACGCTTTACTCTGCCCAAGTCATCAGATACTACGGACACCAAGCCTGTTGCATCTCTGACGGAGCAGGCATTTGGGAGAAGCCTCATGAAAAAGAAGCCAGCGCCTGCTAAAGCCCCACAGACAGCTACTCTTACGTGCCATATCAACCCAAAACATATGGCAAAATTCACCACTATGGCCCGCATGCGGGACCACTTCACTATCATTCACAAAATGGATAAGGACGCAGCTATCAAGCTGGTCGAAGAAAAGTTTTGCATGCCATACCGTACCAGAGCACCATAAGCACAACACCAACTATCCACGGCAGAGAAGCATTAACTATTGACATACTCAAAACCACCGTCTCTCTTTCTGTGTTCGTCTCACATCATGGTCATCCAATGTTCAGTTTTAATGTCGCCATTCTGGCATTTCCAGTCTTATTTCTGTCACTATTCCAGACAATGGTCCGAGTAGCTGGACCCAGAAAATACCGTCGCAAAAGTGTATATGTAAGGAGGGGGAAAGTTCTATTCAATGCAGTTCGACCACAACATGAGAAGTTTGCCAACAAAGGCTAGATATGTTTCTGAGTGCTAATATCATAGAATCCATACAGGTGAGGTGTGGTCTGCTCCGAGGTCTTTCCGAACAAAACCCCACTAAACGATCTCGTGCCTCGGCGCTACTTACATGTCATGACACATTTTACTTCCTACAAAGCAACTGTCGTCAATGCGCAACGGTCGAGATGACGGACGATCATCTCCAAAGTGACGCTCCCAGGACGTCGGACTCGTACTATGATCTGTCAGCTTTCAGCCGACCTGTGAGCACAAATAACAAACAAGCCCAACTCTGGTTTGATCGAGGTCTGGTGTGGAGTTACGCCTTCAACCATGAGGAATCAGCTGAATGTTTCCGAAAGGCCATCGCCTTGGATCCTAACTGTACCATGGCCTACTGGGGCCTGGCATATGCCCTGGGCCCCAACTACAACAAACCATGGGAGTTTTTTGACGGAGAGGAGCTCGAATCCACTGTGACCCGAACGCATGCTGCTGTGCAGAAAGCAAAGAATGAAGCCATCAATGCCACGCCCGTCGAGAAGGCCTTGGTAGATGCCCTCGAGTTTCGATATCCGCTCCCGCACGCTGCTGCTGACTGCTCCATCTGGAATCGACCCTACGCAGATGCTATGCGATCAGTGTACGAAGCATTCAGTGATGACCTTGACGTGGCAGTGCTCTACGCTGATGCCCTGATGAATCTAACACCCTGGAAACTCTGGGACTTGTCTACCGGACAGCCAGCGACTGGCTCGAGGACGCTAGAAGTCAAGGCTGTCCTCGATCACGCCTTGGCTGTGAAGGGTGGATTACAGCATCCTGGTGTCTTACACCTCTACATACATCTGATGGAAATGTCCAGTACCCCTGAGCTTGCGATGCCCATTGCAGACCACTTGAGAGGGTTGATACCTGATGCTGGCCACTTGCAACATATGCCTACCCACCTTGACATACTTTGCGGCGACTATCGCAGAGCGATCGCTTCGAATATGGATGCGATTCGCGCGGATGAGAAGTTTTTGGCGCGAGCCGGTCCGCTGAACTTCTACAGCCTCTATCGATGTCACGATTACCATTTTCGCCTTTACGCTGCAATGTTTGCTGGTCAGTCAAAGATTGCAATGCAAACTGCCGACTGGCTCGAAGCAACAGTTCCAGAGGAACTCCTTCGCGTTAAGTCCCCGCCAATGGCCGACTGGCTCGAAGCCTTCCATGGCATGCGTGTGCATGCGCTCATTCGCTTCGGCATGTGGCAGGAAATCCTTGACCTACCTCTGCCCAAAGATCAAGAGCTTTACTGTGTGACAACGGCTTTGATTCACTATGCAAAGGGTGTCGCGTCGGCAGCTACGGGGAATGTAGAGGAAGCAGAGAATCAACGCACCCTCTTCAACGAAGCAGTTTCGCGGGTTAAGTCCACCCGAACGCTGTTCAACAACACCTGCCTGGATATTCTTGCCATCGCCCGATCAATGTTGGACGGTGAATTGGAATATCGACGGCGAAACTTCGATGTCGCATTTGACCATCTCCGTAAAGCCATTGCTCTCGATGATGCACTGCCATATGACGAGCCTTGGGGGTGGATGCAGCCGCCCCGACATGCTTACGGTGCCCTCCTCTTGGAACAAGGCCACACCGAGCTGGCTGCTGCGGTGTATAGTGCAGATCTGGGATTCGACGACACGCTTCCTCGAGCTCTTCGCCATCCAAACAATGTTTGGGCACTCCGTGGGTATTTTGAATGTCTGATGAAGCTGGGCCGTATAGCAGAAGCTCGACTTATTCGGCCCCAGCTGGCGCATGCGACTGCCATGGCAGATGTGCCTATCAAATTCTCATGCTTTTGCCGGACAGACCATGCTAGCCGGTCGACGCGAGAGCCTTCTGCGTGACGGGGCAGCGGAGTTGGACATGTTCGTCAGGCACAAGACATCTTCTTTGTGGACCATGGTTGGTATATGGGTCGTTAGGCACCTACCCACAACATGTTCAGCGGCATTACACTAAGCTGGTGAATAAGGTTGTTGTCAGTCACACCCAGGCATTGAGCATCTCTAGGGGCCGGGCTACTTAAGACACACTGACAACGCCGACGCTGAGAGTTGTCGTGTAAGCCTGCGTTAAAACCACGTTGGGGTTTGAATTGGCAGACATCATTGAGCTGAATCTGGACTGTCTCTCCCCTATACTGGGTACGAGATCTGGCTCATCATGCCGATGGGAACATTTTGAGTTATTCCTCGAATGAGGCTTGGGAAGACAATAGCAAGGGTGACTATCCACTGACGGTATATGGGTGAACGTTCTGGGTGTCGCTGACTTCGGCTCATGAAAGAAAATTGAAAAACGTAGGCTTACTTGTAATCTTGTGCCGCTCCTCTGGGCAAGCTGCTGATACCTTCCTTTGAAGCTGGGGGTATTTCCGGATGGCTCCTAAGCCAATACCAGGGGCCCTTGCGTTCTGGAGTTTGGGGCAAGGGGCGGCTGCTCAGGGCTGGCCATGCATAGGCTCGCTTACTTGCAGGTGAGAATGATTGGGCACGGGACCCTGGGGTGGCCAAGCTGATGCCCACAAAGTTTTCGTGGGGGTTTTTCTCCGCATCCTTCCACTGACTGGGTGCTGACTGGTGCCTCAACTGCCCTAGATGGGCCTGGTACCCTGTCAAACGAGCCCTATTCGCCCGCTCCCACACCTGCCAGTGAGGACTCCCCGTGGTTCGGGCTGTTGTCGCCGCTGTGTCCGCCGCCGCAGCACTTATCTAAGCCGTCAACCCCTCCCCCCAAAAAATCCCCCAATCCATCAT